ATTTAGATGGTAGATAGCTCTTGTGCAGGGGATAAAGTGACATGAGTTTGAGCTGCAGGGGGGTTTAAAGGACAAAGGTTTAAAAGAGGATAACTCAAGAACCGATAGATGGATCATCATGATTTTTGGTATGTAGGTAGCTTGAGTAATGCTTGACATAATGATATTACAATTATGCAAATATGAATGTAATTTGCATAATTAATGAGGAAATTCTCTAAATCAGCTGCATTCCATTATTGGAAGTCCAAGCTTGTAACATATGTTATTAAGAACGAGAGAAACACAGGCAGATATCGATTATGCAAATGAAGACTCAATTTGCATAATTAATGAGAAAATGTTATAATTGCATGGTAGTAACTGGAATTTCATACTTGGGGTGTTTGAAAGTTAGTGAAGGTGAACATAATTACTCAAATAAGGACCACATTTGCATAATTATGAGGAAATGCTATGATGGCATTCTTTGTTAAGATAAGACTGTCTTTTGGTGTAGAATATGATCAACAGATATAATTCATGCAATTGAGGATCCTATTTGCATAATTAGGGGGATTAATATATAATTTCTTATTCATAAAGGCTAACTTCATTTGGCGAAGGTATGAGATCGTGGAACTCTAGTTAATATATATTTTGTTTCACCCTTACCTCGTCCCCCCTGACTTCAATTAAAAGCGGCCCGATTTTAGCTTCTCACACAGGTTCAAACAAACAAACAAACAAACAAACAAACAAACACACTGTTTTACGAATACTGTGTGCTTTACTCTACGTGTACGACGTGGCCGCTTATATATTTTGATTTTCACACATCGTGGATACGGGGAAAGTTACAAAAGCATGGAAAGTGGCCATGGAGTAAGGGCAGGGGGTGGAAAAGAGAATGAAGGTGAAAAGAAAGCACGCTTTCAAATGTCAATCCTGTTTTGTTGAGCTCGACACACTACATTTAGTGGTAACTAAGAAGAGATAAGTCAAATTTGCGGTATGTCCTCATTTTCAACATAATTAGTAGGCGGCTGGGACCAGACATCATGCACGGTGGGTCCGAGGTTAAACCCGGCATTACTCGGAACTTCAAAATCCGCACCTCCACCACATCAAAAGACATGCCAGCTCTAATTGCGCATTTCAGCGCTTTGTTCGTCCCCCTCCTGCCTTGTAGTTACTAAGCTATGCGGACTGAGGAATGACGGGGGAGACCGGGAAACACCCTTATTACGGTGTGTCAGGACAGGTGATGGGTGACACACGGTGATTGGGACATCAGTAGTGAAGCCCCCGCCACACATAGCCTACGAAACACTGCCTAAATCCCCCATCCATGTTCAGGTCGCGAGCAAGGTCGGCTGTGGTTGGCTGGTGTTCGCTGAGGTCGGCTACAGGTTTCAAAATGTTTAAACCATTTGGGTATGGACGGGAGGTTCGGCCATGGTTGGCTGGTGTTCGGGAGTAGGTGCGCAGTGGTCGGGGGTTGAATTTGACTCAAATGTACAACTCAACTCAAATTAGAGTCGATTTGTATAAAAAGTTACACTACTAGTACTAGTGCTACCGAACATCAGCCAACATTGGTTGGTTGGTAGTCGGGGGAAGGTTCTGAATGTGTGACAGGGATTTGAGATGAACAAAGGGGTGGAGAATAATCTCTAAGCAGATTCGGTGGGGCAAGGGGACTTAATGTTAACCGCCTATATCCAACGTTCGCCCCACGACCAATGGATACATGCGGCTAACATAAAGTCCCCTTGCCCAACCAAATCTGCTTGGAGATTAGTGGAGAAAGCGGAGGAGTTAAGTATTATAAAGTACGGCTTCATCACATTATCACACCAGTTGTTGCTACAACGCTTAAGCTACCCGCTGTAAGAACAAAGGCAGAACTTGGCAAGCTGACGGCAGAACTTCTGCCAAATTAGCCAGCTGGCTTTTGAATTGGTGTATAAAGGTTCTTTCCTGTTGGCAGTCAAAAGGTCGGTTTGATTTTAACGCGGTGAAAAACATCATGCGGTTCCTTTGTTGGCTTCGTCAATGTTCAAGACGTGTGTGTGTGGGGGGGGGGCGTACATGTGTGTAAAACTTCTAAGTATTTCTTCGCTGCCTTTTAATACCTAACCAGTATGTCAAGACAGATCACGCAGTGTGTCTGTCACTCCCAGTGAATTTATTATGGGTTACACGTAGATCCGTAAATGACATGGGTATTCTACAATCCGGCTCTGGGACAACAACGTGTTGACTGTTGTCAAACGTGCCACTGACTCCCCGCAATGTGCCTTCGGGCTTGGCTTTGACAAGTACACAATTACGTTAAAGACTTGTCGTCACAATCCCTTACCGCCGCTAATGCCTGACTTTGATGGTCTCATTGCGAAGCCATGGTACTGGCATGCGACGGTAGACCTTTGGGAGTGCCGGCAACGATTACCGCTAAATTCAGGAAGGCAGGCAACGCTAAACAGTAAATAAATTGACGCACATTCACTACACTAGACCAATTGATAAACCTACAAACACCGATATGACTGAACGCTCCGTACCGACATATGGGAAATTTGGTGTTCAACTATAGGCGCAATACGAAGAATTTGTCAATACCACAAGTACACGTGTTACGTAGAATTAAAGCGAACTTTAATTCTACGTATTAATAAAACTATGTGCGCTTCACGGATAATTTATACCGACATTTAATGTTGTACTTGAGCGAGCCGCTACGATATTAGCAGTGAACTTTAGATAACCCGCTATGGTTCATGGAAAAGGCATGCAGACCGACTTTTCATTAGCGCACCTAACGTTACAATGTTTGGATAACTTACAGCATTATCCGATGTACGTACATGTGTAGGTGGTGGGAGGGGCATCCTGTATTAAAGCCGGCTTTCACTGGAAATGATTACACAAAGATCTGCGCCAAACGTACTGCTGTTTCTTAGAATTCACTATGTGCGTGTATGTAAGTATGTACGTATAGGGCCTATACCGTATGTAAGTATTTGGTATCTATAGTCCATATATACACACCGTTAGTGTCCTCTGTTCACTGTTGTCCCAGATTCAGATATAATTCCTCACCGATCCCTTCAACTCTTTTCTAGTACATGTATACACGTATCCAGATGTACATATACATATGCATTGTATGGTTACTTACGGATCCGTATAAGGTAACGTTCCTCTGTGGACAGTCCATACACAGATATAGCGATCCGATATAGTATCCAGACAAGTACACGTACTTTAGCGATCCGTATAAGTGTCATCTGTTGCCCATATACAGATATAATTCTTTTCAACAGTTTCTATTACAGATATGTGCATATATGGTTACTTACCGATCCGTATACGTTTCCTCTGTTGTCCATATAGAGATAAAATTTCATTTAACAGTTTTCTTTTACTAGTATACAGATATGTGCATACATGGTTACTTACCGATCCGTATAAGTTTCCTCTGTTGTCCATACACAGATATCTGGAGGCCTCCACGCCCCATATCCCGGCCACGCCCACCTCCACCGTGAGAATGTGGACAACAGCTGTGTGAGGAGAGGGAAAAGGCGGGAAGTTGTGAGGACCTTAGTCAGGACTCCTGATAAATGTTCACAGATGTACGTGGGAAGAACAGATAGGACTCATTTGCGAACGACTTTATCAGGGGTGCCAGAGTATACAGTGCAATTTTACGGAACACAGTACAATCGTATTAGTATACAGCACTAGTGCAATTTTACTAGCACTGTATTCCGTAAAATTGCACTGTATTTCCGTAAAATTGCACTGTATTTCCGTAAAATTGCACTGTATACTAGTACTCTAGCACCCCTGTTTATCATTCAATTGAACCTCCGATTGGGTTTGACAAGTGATAGCCACATTGTTTCCTTCGTAGCTTGGAAATATAGAACAGAACAGATAACCTTTACTGTACATTCATGCCCTATCGGGCTAATTATAAGTGCAGGTCAACAGATGCAAAGGTATATAGTACAGACAGGGCGTTTGAAACTAATCTAACAAAGCTACTCTAATACAGAGGTTCGGATCCTTCGTCATATACCTGGCATGATTTCGTCGAAAGTTGGGCGACATACATACACCAACTACATGTTTCCAATTGCAAGGGGCGTTTTCTGACTAGCGCCTTTTCCTGTTAGTGAACACAGATATGGACCTGCACCTTTTTTGGCTTGCAATTGAACGTTTGAAGTATTTTAAGTATTATAAGTTTTTCTTTTTCTGCACTAGTACTTTCCTTACTATTGGCATAGGACAGAGGCAAAAGAAGTGTCACGGAAACCTGTAAACTGTGCCGTACTACTCACAAAAATCAAGACAAAAAGGCGTGATCCTTTTTACATATGAAATTGTAAACATTTGGGGGGGGGGGCAGAGGGGGTGTCGGTGTAGTGACTATTCTTAATAGTTTAAGTGGAGAGCTTCATCTGAGAGCACCGTGAGTGTTTGACCTTTTCCGTGTGTTATAGAAACCTTCTGGTATTAAATGGAGTTTAAAATGACCTTGTCATGTTCGGTCCGCTAGCGACAGAGGTCAGGCAGATGAGAAATTATGACTGACCTTTCATTAACTTGTTTTTCTGACTTACTACACCCGTCAAAACATGTCAGATCACATCCAGGCACTT